TGATTCTTTTTTATTAAATAATTAAAGCACCTAAAGTTCTAAATTTCCTTCTCTGTATAATTTATGGAAATTTCAGAAGTTTTGATTTGTGATATTGCATTATCATTTCTAAATAGACAAATGACTATATGTAATATTTATTTTTTCATGCTTTCCTTTTATCTTTTAAAAGTTAACCTTCTATTGTATGATTAACTTGTAAATTTTTTAAATTGTACAATCTTTAAAATCATTATTCAAAATGTGTGCATATTTACTGCTCTGTCCTTCATCCCCAGCCAAAGCTTTCCTACTTACTAATTGGGTCACTTTGGACAAGTCTGTGCATTTATTCTACCTTACTGAGTGTCAGGCACTATCATGGGAGCTGAGAATACAAGGGGGAACAAGACAAAGTTGCTGTTTTCAAGGAGTTACTTAAGGAGATACATAAGCTAGAAATAAACCAGCCAGATGACTTCAGCTAATGACAGTGCTGTACAGACAGACAGGAAAGAACCTGTCGCAGAGTGATGCAGTAGAAGTGTTTCAGGTGGGGTTGTCTGGGAAGATGTCTGCTAAGAGCCAGATCTCATCTTGGACTCATCTTTGTCCTTAGCCCAGAACATTTCTCCTGGGCCATTTGACACTCCCTTCCCCCCTCCTTTAAACTGCTGCCTTCCATGTTTTCTGTAACAATATAGTGGTGGCACTATCTCCTGGTCTCCTTTCGCCTCTATGAGCTCCCCCGTTCAGGCTTCACTGCAGGTGTGCCTTCCTTTGACCACCCTTTACGTGAGCCTGCTGGGCAAGAAAATCATCTATCCTGGCAGCTCGAAGTAGAGCTCAACCACTGGCTCTCTCTGCTGAGAGCTCATGCTCTCATTCAGACCTTCGGCATAGGTGACCCTGGGGTGGCAGCACAGGCCCAAGATACCATGTGTGAGTCATGGCATTTAGATCCTTCCTACAAGGTAAAGGTAGAGTTCCTCAAGGTTAGGGTATAGGTCCAGCTGGCTTCCTAACACAAGTCAACACCAAGGAGACTATTTCAAGGGGGGACTGAGCAAAAAACAGTAAGGAAGTGCTCGGCTGACTGAAAGGCACTCAACACAGTGCTGAACAGCAACACAGTCCCTACCTGTACAGAGTTTACATGACAGTTCAGAGACGTGACCCATGTAAGAAGACAATGAGAAAACACTGCAAACCAGCAAAAAACAAAAACAAAAAAAAACAAAACCACACACACAAAATTGTGAGTAACACACTGTAAATGCCACCAGAGTTCAAAGGAGAAGCCCTTGGAGTGAACTGACCACTAGACCCTGGAGGAGGTCGAACTTGAACCAAGCCCTGAAGAAAGCAGGTTTATCACCAAAGGACACAAGAACCCTGGTTATGCAGTACAATGGGGCTGGATCTGGATCTAACTGGCATAATGAATGATAACGGGCACATCCTGTAAGTGTAAGGCCCCACTTCTAACACCAAGTAAGAGAAGGTTAACAAAAAATTCAACCCTGGATGAAGGAGTGAAGTCTTCTGTAAAGAGGGTCAAAGTTCTCTTCCTCTTCTTTCATCTCAAGAAGTAGGTGGAACAAAAGTGAGAGGTTCAAACCAGAGTGGGGTGGAGCCAAAGGATAAAAGACGTGGTGCAACCTCTAGGTCTCGGCTCTGCTCTAGGTCTTTGAGAAAATGAGCAGACGTTCAGAAAGTTTCTTCTGGTTCTTGAGATTCTGTTTTTCAGCTCAGAATATCAGGGCAGACCAGACAAGGTATTTGGAGCTGAGGGCTAGCTAATGATGAAGAATAGACTCCTCTAGCTGGAACTTGGGTGGGATAGAGGTCTAGTATGTGGAAGCAACTGTACCTCTACTCTAACATTCTGGGAGATACAAGTAACAAGTATCTTAGGTCTTTGTAGTGTCATTTTATAAATCTCATAGTTGCATATAGATTCACTCTGCCCTTATTTTAGGTAGGCATATTAGACTGATCTCCTATTACAGATTATAAAATAGTCTGGGAAGTTAAGTAACTTTCTGGTGAATGAATAGCTGGGCCTAGAAACAAAATCTTAAGTGTTTCAATGGTCCTGATCTAAACAGGCCTTCTCAATGCCTGAAGCAAAGCCCCTCACAAAGAGAAATGAGCCTTGACTCAGAAGTACCACTCTGGGCTCATGGGACTGAAAGATCTTTGGACAAACTGGTCTCCAAATCCAGGTGGGGTTAAAGCACTGAGATACTTGGTGGAGGGGGAGGGAGGCACAATACCTACTGACAAACTGTGTCCTGGAGAACAACATCTGGTCTGGTCCTAAAACTCTTCTCAAAATCCATTTGAAACAGACCAAAGCTGCAGGATTTACCGGGCCTTCATGCCATTAAAGCTCCTAGCACACTCCGCTTCTCTCAACCCTCACATGAACAATTCTTCCTTTCACTGGGGTAAATGAAACCTAGAAGGAGCAATCAACAGTCAAAAGGGGATAGATAGTATGATTTTAAATCCCGGGGTACCAAAATGACAGTTAAAACCCTTGTCCCTGTAGCTTCAAATACCCACCATGACACCAACCCCACTGGGGAACACTTCTCCCCTGCTGCCTTTTAAGATGTCCGGTATGTGTGGCAGCGTGATGAACACTAGAGTGCTTTCTCCTTCCTTTTGGTCTCATTTAACTAGGAGTACTGGAAAGTGATCATCAAAAACAAACAAAATGCAGCCCTGCCCCAACTCCCACCAAAGCAGTTTCCTCAGAGTCTCTCTGCACCTGGTCCATGGCACTTCTGAGGGTCAGTGCCTCTGCGGCCAGACACAGCCTTCCTTTTCCCCTCAGCCCGGGGCCAGCAACCATGGATGGCCCTTGTGCGGCTTGAGATAACAGGAAGCCTTTCAGGGGCCCAAGAGTCAGTTTCTTTACTAAGCAGCTGCTACTTTTACTCTAAACTTTCCTCAGGTTTCCTGGTCTAATTCCCTTTTACTTGCAACATTCGTTTTTTCCTCTCCCTACAACTCTGGCTTTTCTCTCACCAGCTTGAGCAGCCTCCCTCCCTCCTTGTGGGCTGGCCTGACACCACGAGAGTCTCTCCCACAGAGGTGGGGTGCAGAGAGAAGCACATGCTGTTCTGTGCAAAGTGCCTCTGCCGTGGTGAGACTGCAGCAGGTGCAAAAGCGGCACCTGCAGCTGATTTCCGGAGCCCGTCCAGCCGCTGAGTGTTCTTGTGCACAGGTGCAGACGTAAGTAAATATGGCAGTCTGGGAAACAGTAAGTGATCGATGTGCTTGCAACACAGGATACATTCAGTTCACTTAGGTACAAACATTTGCTGAGTGCCTCTGACTTGCAGAGATTTTAAAGAGAGCACACAATTCTTAGGTATAAATGACTGGTGCACTGGTTTTCCGCCCTGACCCTGGCTGTGCTTGAGAATCCTAACAGCTTGAGAAGAAGATGCAAACAAAACACAATCTCAGGAGACCCCGGACTCCACTGGTGGGGGGCGGAGCGCACGTATTTAAAAATTCCTCAGGTATCTGAATGTGTAGCCATGGGCTAGAACTTAAATGTGACGGTAGGTAGACATTTCTGAATAAAGGCTACATTTAGGTTTTAGGCAATGGAAAGCTATTGCAGGTTTTTGAGCAAGAGAGGGAAGATGAGAATGGCTATAATGTGGGAAGCTTCTCCTGAATGTATTGGACAGAATAGACTAGAGTCAAGAAACACTGAGGACAAAGGGAACTGGAAAAAGCCTATTGCAATAGTTCAAGTGGAAGGTAGCACTGAGAACGGACCGAAGGGATGGTCTTAGTGGAAAGTGCAGGCCTGTGAGAACAAGCTGGAAGTGTCCGGGCTGCCGTGGGGTCTGGGGTCGCAGCAGACAAAGGGGCACAGTGACAGGTGAGGCACTCTCCCCTACTTGGCCCCACATTCCTACCTACACTAAAATTGCATTAGAAAGAATTCCCAATGCCTTGGGGGTTAAGAACTCAGAGGAGAACAAGACTATAGAGACTCGGCTTTCAGGGGAAAAATTCAAGGACTACTAAGTGATAAAGACTGAGCATAGTTAGGACATATCATTTTAAAATGAAGCAAAACTTCATACATTTTTCCCACAGAATTTTGATGTAAAAAAAAAAATCTCTGCTTTCCTACCGAAGCTATTTACTATTGTGTCCCCACCCGAGGGGTCACAAACAGTAACACTATTTCTAGGCCACCTTAGAACACAAGGCTCAGCTCATAGAAAAAAGCCACAGGTTCAACTGCAGCTTTAAACACCTTTCTAAATGTTGCCTGAATCAGAAAAGAACAGCTAACACAAAAAATTGGTCGGGTGGGGTGGCACGGGAATGGAATCATTTATTTGGAGTGTAGCCTGGCGCTCTAAATAAAGGCTCCATTATCTTCATCTGAAAGCTTTTAGGGCATAAGGAGGAAGTGAATGGATGACCCACTTGAGACAGCACCAAAATGAACAGATGACTTCATAGCCTGGGATGATGGCACTAGGTGGACAACAAACACTGGACAATTAAAAGTGAACTGGGACACACCTTCACGGCAGTTCATCTCAAATTCCGTATTACCAAACAAATAGACTTTTCAGTTAGTCTGTTTAGACAAAGCCTCATCAAACAGATCTCTTTAGAGCACACATACACAAATAAGTTAACTGTTATTTTATTGTAAAGGAAAAAAATATCCTGAAATATTTGTTAAATAAGAATAATTCCTGACAAAATCATTTTCAGGGTTTTCAAACCTCACCATCTGGTCAGACATAGTGAGCTGTCCCTGGCCCTTGTAATAAACTTCATTAATATTGCCATAAACCACAGGAAAACACAGAGATTTTCTGAATGGCTTCCAAATTTCTGCATAGATGCCCTTAATTAGTCCAGAGGTAAATAATAAATAAATTGGCAGAGAAATTAGGAGAGCTGAAAGAAAAAAGTTAGCAATTGGTGAATCTAGAACAAAGAACATATGAATGTTCATTATATCATTTTCTCCTTTTTTTATCCTCATCCAAGGATAAGTTTTTTATTGATTTTTAGAGAGAGAGGGAGGGAGAGAGAAAAGGTGGGGGGGGGAGAGAGAGAGAGAGAGAGATTGATTGGTTGCCTCCTGTATGCGCCCCACCTGGAGATAGCACCCACAACCTAGGTATGTGCCCTGACCAGGGACCAAACCCCCAACCTTTTGGTGTATGGGATGATGTTCCAACCTACTGAGCCACCCAGCCAGGACTTTATACCATTCTTTCAATTTAATTTTTTAGTTACAGGCAGACTGAAAAGTTGTTTTAGCATGATTGTGCTATTTTCCAGACTTGCCTAAAAAATATATTCAATTATTTCTTTTCGAGCCAGAAATAGAAAATCAGTTCTCCCCCGGGTGATACTCACTTTCTATTCTGTCTAATTAATCTTCCAAAGCTTTCTGGAAAGTTTAAATTAAGGGGCTACAGTACACTGATGTGGTTTTATAGTTCTTGACAGGGACTTGAGTTAAACTCTCAGCGAAGGTCTGTGATGGTCACTGCTCTGTCCACAACAGTCACGTGGCTGCAGCTCTGTAACAGGGAAAAAGAAAGAGGAAGTTCTGAAAAATTCTGAAGTCATATTTTAAAATTTCTAACTTAAAATGCTCATTCTGGCTAGTGGTTCCCAGTCTGGCAGCCACACTGCCACTTAACTGGCAGTTATGGTAAGGGGTGTGGGAATCATTACTTCTGCCAGTCCCTGCCTGTACCCTGAGTCAACGTGGGCCCAAATATCCTCATTTATTTTTCAAACGTATCTATACTCGAGTCATTCAAAAGGTATACATTCATCTAAAAGAATTGTTGAACTCATTGCAGTTTTTGGGTCACTATGTCAACCGGATGATTAAGCACACCTACTGGCACGTGGGGAATGCTCTCTTTTGACATGCAAGGCGGGTGTTTATAGCTGAAAACCTGGGCATTTTGGGGGGGATTGTGTAGCCTCTGTTTCAACATCATGGCACCTAGACATTGATTACTTTCCAAGGAAGATGAACCCAAACTTTCTAGTCTAATGCTTTTCTCTAAGAGTTTTTAGCCTAATATATTTTTTCCTTTTTATTGAATTTATTGGGGAGACACTGGCTAACAAAATTATACTGATTTCATTCAGGCGCACCATTTCACAAACTAATCTATTTTTGAGTGGATCTGTCAAAAAGTTCTTTCTCATTCTCAGCTGAAAACTATCATTCCACGAGATTTTAGTTTTAGTTCTACAAAGAAATGCACCCAGTATCTTCTTATGCAACAATTCTTCCAACATTAAAGTCAGTTCTCAGATTCTCCCTGGAGTGTCTCTTCTACACAACCCCAGTTTCTTTTACGTGACAAGGTTCTGAGTCTCTTTTCTATGTTGGTCACTTTTCAGTGAACCCAAAAGAAATAACACTCCATGGGCAGCATGGAGTGGAGCGACACTATCACATTAGATTTGAGAGGCAAACTGAAACATACTGATCTTACCAGCCACTGAAACCTTTTATTCACACAATATGACTTAGGGGAAAAAACTTCTTAAAAAGACCATAAAAGTCTCTATTACCTAAATAAAATTCCACAGCCAAATATACTTTACTTGTCCTAAATGGCTTTTTTCCTTTGATTTCAAATCTCTTACTGAAGTAGAGGCTTAGCAACTGATATTGAAAAAGAAAAAAACCTGAGTTAATAAGCCAGCTTATGGCACTAGGTACTTTCTGCATATTATTTCATTTAATCCTCTTGAAAACCCTATAAAGTAGGTATTATTGTCATCATCATCCCCATTTACAGGTGAGAAAGCTGAGGCCCAGAAAGGTTAAGTAACCCGATCAAAGGCACACAGTCCAAAAGTGGCAGAGCTGATTCCAGTCTGTCCCTATCCCGCACTTGCTTCCCTGTATGTCCTTATTAGGATGATTTGGAAAGACAGGTGCTAAGGCTGATCTTCTATGTGGGTCGGAAAGTACGGTGCACCTCGTCAGCTCTGACTGTCCTCCCTGCTTGAGGCACAGCCCCAATTTCTTCTACATAGACACATACACAGAAGAGTGGTGGGTCCTTGCTGTGTGGATGAAATCCTTTCTGGCGACAGGAAGAAATCTCCTCTAGTCCATGGTCAGTTAGTTTAAAGAATCCAGTTCTAAAAAAAAAAGAAAGAAAAAGCAGGCCCAGAATCAAGCAAATGTGGCCCCCCAATCTCTCTCTCTCTCTCTCTCTCTCTCTCTCTCTCTCTCTCTCTCACACACACACACACACACACACACACACACACACACACACCCCCCCGCCTCCCGCTGCCCCCAATTATGGGTCAGCTTCAAAAGTATGCGGGCTCCTAGGCCACTTCTCTGGTGAATGAATCAGTTAGAGAGTGACTCATCACTGCCACCACACTAGTTCTGCTGGAGGAGTTCACAGTAAATAACAGGATTTAGAATGAAAAAGAAGTTAACATTGAGAAATCTGTTTGATTTTGAAATTTCTAATCTGACATCCATCTCTTAAAATGCCTACTGCTTCAAGTCAAACACTTCAAATTTTTTATGTCTTTTTCTTAGAAAGGCACCTAAGTTGTTGCTTGGATATCTTCAGACAAGCATAACAGGTTTATCAGGAGAAGGGGCTTAAAAGGAAACCTTCCAGAATAGCCAGTTAATATCACAATCTATTTTATAGAGAACAAGGTCTTAAGAATACAGACCTTTTCCTCTGTGGCTTTCCCCGCACTGTTTCCCTGTAACGCCCCCCGAAACTGTGTCCTATGTACTTACTCCTGGAACTTAGGGGAGCAAACGATGGCTATGGACTCGGGCAACATCATCTGATAGGAGCAGTGAGTGTGCAGGTCAACACTGGAGAGGAAGGCAGTTTGTGTGGGATGAGTCTGAGAAGAGAAAAAAAAAGTCAGAGACCCCCTCAGTCGGAGTACGCAGCTAACCCCAGCCCATGCAGGAAGGTAGAGTCAAACAGTTCTCAGTGGCTGGCCACAATCTCCTCAAGTACAAAGCCATTTGCAGCCATGAGAGGTATTCATGATACTCACAATAAGTAATGAACTTCCTTTCCAGCAGTGTAAACAAGTGTTGTTTAACATGAGTGTGTGAAGAGGCTCATAATTTCTCATTGTTTAACTCCTCCTAAGTTCTCTCTACACAATGAGAGTCATCGATTCTAGAATAGATGGTATAGCTGCCCAATAATACTTCAACATGGGAGAAGTCAAGGACATAATAAGCCATAGTTAGATAAATGATTCTTCTTCCTGACAGAGGCGTTATAAGGTCAAGCATGAGTCTGGGACTTTAAAGGCAAAAGCAGCAAAAGTGTTCCCAGCCAGGGACATAAGAGGCTGGGGTTTCAGTGGGTAGTTAAATCTCACAAAGGATGCTATCTTGTTTGGGAAAAGGACCAAGATATTGAAATTTGAGGATAATCGGTTAAAATACCATTTAAATGTGCATTTGGTTTATCTCATTTGTTTTCAATTATTTAATGTTTTATTAAGCACATTCTTCATATACAAATGAACAAATATATAATCATGCATGTTCATCTTAGAGGGGGTGTGAGTTTAGATAACAAGAACGGAAAAAGAAAGACCCAGTGTGACTCAAAAAGACCACCAACCTTCACTGACAGACAAGCTCAGAAAATAAGTAAGAATATTTGACAACCATTTTCAGACCTGCTGTGCAAAAACTGAAGCTCCCAAGGAGCTGAAGCTCGTCAAAATCACAGGCTCCCGTGCTCCACCTCCAGAAATATCCATCCTGAGAAGGAACTTTTCTTTTTAAAAAAAGCTCATTAAATGGTTCTTTATGTGCCATCTTGTCTGAGAAGCACCAGCCCACAGCGCACTGTGACCAGCTCACTGTGGGAGAGGTCTGCGGGGCAGGGACACGTTAGCTGAGTGCAGAGGGGTCCTCACAGGGCAGGTGAGAATTTTGGTGAGCACAAGGGAAAACAGTTTTTACCTGATAATAATATGATCCTATGGACTGATAAGGACAAATGGCCAGTACAACACATTTATCCCATGGTTACAACCAGGTATTCTAACTGGGAAGAAATGAGGCCTATGCAAGCTGATGTAGGCCTCCGATCTAAAGTTGGATTAGCTAGAAAGACAATATAGAGACACAGAGCAGGGACTCAATAAATAATTGCTAAACTAAATAAAAAACCTTGCCTTGAGCCTCTGGTTCCCTCTAACTGCTATGCCTTCTCTCTCTCCTTCCCTTCGCAGTTTCTTGAAAAAACAGTTATGTCTACTGTGCCTACCATGCTGGAGACAGAGGAAGGCATTTTTATGAAGAGAAAACAATGTACCACAGGAATAGAAATGAGCAAGGGGAGTGGATGCTGAGGCCAAGCCTGGGCACCTGGATGGGAGCAGAGTGGCCACCGGAGAGCATGGGTAGCAAAGTCAGGCTGAGGGCAGGCGAAGCAGTGCCTTGAATACTGGCTTGGGGTTACAGAACAGCTGGGGATCAGTGCGTGACCATACAAAGCATTGGACCGCAGAACCTGGTTTGTGGCTGGCAAGGTGCAGGAGGAAGAACTGATCTTTTGCATTTTCCTCTTGCCAATTTTAAGACTGGAGCACACATATGATCTGCTTTTGTTTATTTTTAATCTCAAGTTAGCAAAGAATGGGAAAGAAATATCGTGGGGGAAAAAAGCTGAAATGCTATCAATTTAGGCTCTAAATTTGTTCCTACTTGGGTCCTCACTGATATTAGAAATCCTTGTATTCATTTGTGGTTAAATTTGCTCTGAAGTCTAACCAGTAATTCTTCCAAACCTTCCCCCATCTCCTCCAGTTCCTAAACCCCCATCTCCCTCCCACTGGGCAGTGGATCTAGACTCCAACCTCGCTGAAATCAAGATCACCTAAAATGAGTTTCCTCCAAATATAACCTCAAAAATCTCTATATATTTCACTCTGCCTTCACTTCTGTCTGGGAATAATGAGTGTTTTCTCTCCCATATGTGAATGTCCTTTTTTTAGTATTGATTTGATACTTTCCTACCTACCTATTACCTGTCGCTCCTGCCTTTTAAAATGTCCTCCACTGGCTCACTGGTGTTAAACATACATTCGGAAAACTACACATGAGAATGGAGATAAACCTTAAAAATGTTGAGCAAAAGAAACCAGACACAAAAGAACACATATTACATAATTCTATTTGTATAATGTTTAAAACCAGGCAAAACTACACACCCCGTTTAGGAATACACATTTAGGTATTCCTATAGAAAAAGAAAAGGATTTCCAGAGAAGTCAGGATAGGGAGGAAGCATGAGTGGGCAGGATACTGGGGATGGGAATGTGCCTCTGGCAATGTTCTATTTCTTGTAGTTTGTGTACACAGATGTTTGCTAAATGATTCACAATTTAGTTTATGTACTTTCATATATAGAGAGTTATACTTCAAATGTAAAGGTTTAAAAAACAACAAAATCAAAACACATTTAGGCTTTTCATACTAAACCATAAATCAAGCAAATCTTCCCTCAACCTGGCTATTCCTTCAGCTACCTATCATCCCATCTCTTCCCTTTCCTTTCAAATTGAGCTCTTAAAAAAATTAGTGTGTATTTCACTATCACCACAACCTCAGTTTCCATCACTCCTTAAACCCTTACAATCTATTCCCACCCCTGCCTAAAACTCACTAAATTGAGGTCACTAGTGACCTCCCCAAATCCAACAGGCTCATCCAAGTCTTCATTGTTCTGGAGCTCTCTGCAGCATGTGTCGTAGTTAACATCTTGAAGTTTCTTCTTAAAACATTCCTCCTCCTTTGACTTCTGTGCCTTAACACTACCCTCACCTTTCTTTTACATCTTTGCTTCCCCACAGCTGACTTCCTGTGTCCCCCCAGGTGGCTTCTCCCCTAGGCTGCCAGTGAATCTCCTCTTGCTCTCCACTCCCCTCCAGGGTCAAGGCTTCCAAGGTCAGCACTATGCAAAGGTCCCCAGATCTCGTTACTGCCTTGCTTTGCTCCCGACTTCCAGCCACATTTCCAACTGCCTGACAGCTGTCTCCACCGATTAAATGTCTCAGCCATACCATCAGCACGCTCAGAAGTGAACACTGTCTACCCCACTCCCAAAGTCGGCCCTCCTCCGGGGGCCGTTGTTTCCGCCTACCAGATGATCGCAGCCACTCCTGTGAGTCAGGTCCCAAATCTCTTAAGTCATCACTGACTTACTCATCATCCTCTCTTACTCATTCCCCACATCCTCTGAAATCCTCCATTCATCTCCTCCTACCTAAACACAACGCCATCACCCTAGCTTTCATTATAAGATTTTATCACGGCTCTAATCTCCTATATGATCTCATTGTCTCAACTTATGTTTAAACTGCCTTTGTTTTAAATTTTCTAAAGTATGGCTCTGATTTTGTCATTGCTCTACTCCAGATGTCAGATCACTATGTTGTACGCCTGCAACTAATATAATATTGTATGTCAACTATGCTAATAAGGAAATAATCACAAATACAGAAAAAAAAACACTCCCAAACTTTAAGAGTTCTGCACTTACTAAAAGGACAACCATCCTGCCTGTCTATCCAATGTATCACATTAGAGCTTATCTACTACCATTTTCTGATATGAACCACATACCCCCGCAAATTGGACACTCAATGCCCCAGGAGCACAGTGTGCCTATGCGGAACTCACCCTTGGCCCATCTTGTCAAAATTCTAGTAAATGGTACCAAGTGTGGTCCTTCCTTCCTCTGAATTCCACAGGGCCCTCTTTGCTTCTCTTGAGGCCCTTGGCACATTCTACCTCATCTGAAGAGTTATAACTTCTTTATGTGTCTAACCTCCTTTGTGGGACTAAAATCGTATCTTACTCAAATCTGTGTCCCCGTGCAGATAAGGAACAAGTTTTCTATCCAATGAGGATATACAATGAAAGACAAATATTTATGTAATTAAACCGAATAAAGGACAGAGGCACATGGGACGGTCTCACAGGTATTTTCCAAATTCTAACATACAAGTGTGAGTAATCTTCCCAAATCCAGAAATGAGCTGACTTGTTTGTATGTAACCCTGGCATACAACATGAAAAGTTTGTATGTAACCCTGGCAAACAACAGTGCCTGAGTGAGGAATTGAACAGGAACAGGAAGGAAAATTAAGAAATAATCTTTAGAGATAGAATTATATCTTACCTGAATATGACAAAAAAAAAAAACAAAACCTATATAACATGTTCAGACACTTGAAAATCACCTATATTGGTAGCCCTTCTGGTTTACATAAAGGTATGTGCTGCTTTAAGAAAAACCAAATGCAGCCCTGGCTGGTGTGGCCACATTTGGATCGAGTGCCGGCCCGTGAACCAAAGGGCCGCTGGTTTGATTCCCAGGCAGGGCACAAGCCTGGTTTGTGGGCTGGGTTCCCAGTAGAGGATGTGTGAAAGGCAATCACACACTGATGTTTCTCTCCCTCTCTTTCTCTTTTCCTTCCCCTCTGTCTAAAAGTAAATAAATAAAGTCTTTTTTTAAAAAAGTAAAAAAGAAAACCAAATGCAAACATCTGAATTAACTTCCTTGGCTCATTTAAATACTTCGATTTATATATACTTGTAGGAACATACATAGGATGTATGAAGTAGGCATAGTCCTACATAGTATGTATGAAGTAGGCATAGTCCGTGTCCACTCATATTCTAGGCCAGCAACCCAGCACCATTCACATTCCCGAGGAAACTGGGCTTTAGGAAAACCAGTTCATTTTTATTTAAAAAGTCTTTTTCTTTTAAATAAAAAAAATTTAAAAGCCCTAAGTAGTTCCCAGAAATCAATACTGGAATACAAGCAGTCATGTATGCTAGGGAAGTCAAACCTGCATCCAAGGGAGGAAACACAATCATCGAAATAATCTGAATACAATTCACTTTTCTCAAAGAAAAAAACTAGCAGTGTGTTTATAACATCGTGAGAGAAAAGACTAACCCTGAGAACTCAGAATTGCTTACATGAATCCAGCCCAGTGTGATGAGGCCCTGCTGATCCTGTATGAGGAAAAGCTCTTCTTCGTTCTCCGTGTTGCAATAATCAGACCCAGCACTTTGCTTGGGGATGAGAACGTGGGTGATGGTAAATTCATTCCTCATCTGTCAAAGGACAAAACAGCTCATCACAATTCCCTGGCACTCATGCAACCTCACTCAGGCACAGCAATAGAAAGTTAAACATTTATATAAGTAAAGGCCCTTCCCACCTCAGTCTACATTTCGCTTGAGTCCCTCACCTTGTGGTTCACAACCTTAGCTACTTATGTGCATTGCCCTGGGGTGCTCTGCAAAGTTACAGATGACCACAGCGTTGGGGGAATTTCCTGCTGCAGTGAAATGGGTCTACTTGTGGTTCTTGAGAAGCTCTGCAAATAGTTCCATTTCTCTTCCTCTGCTCATGTTTAGTTTCCCTTTCCCTGTTTCTCTGAGTCTTTCTCATCCTCTAAGGCACAGTCTAAGTCTATTCAACATCATTCATTTATTCATTCAGCAGTTAGTAGTGGGTTCTGTAAGTGCCTCCATGTAATGATCTTTCCTTCTTCAAAGTTCTTAGTGCTCATATTATATATACTATTCTGAATGCTATTTGTCTTTTGGTGTGTTATCTCCCACCTTTCCAAAGTGCCTCGGTACTTTCTGTGGATACATGCTATGTGCCTTACATATTTCATATCCCCAGGTCCTACCCTAAAGTAGGCACTTGAAAAAATGATATATAGATAATGACTGGATCTTCCCACCAAGTGTAGAAGTATTTCTTACTACTAGCATTCAAATAATCGGTTCAATTCAAGGGACTCTGAAAATCAATCAAATACAGAGTTACTAAATTCAAAGTGACATCTGCATTATGCTGTCCTTGGTCCCTTCAGCAGAGGGGTCAGTGCAAAGAGTAATTGACCCTGTTTGTCTTCTCCAAGTCAGAGGAGGTCAAGGGGGAAGAAACCGTTTCAGCCCAGGAGCATTTGTTTTTACCAGTTTTCCACAGAGGATGCCACATGTCTCTACTCCCCGTGCAGTGTTGGCACTGGCTAGTTGGAGAAACTGTGGGCACAGCCTCCCGGGCACCACCATGTGGCGCAGTCCGTCGATTGTGGGAACTGTAATAGAGAAAGGGGAAAAGACTGAGACCAGGGGCAGAGCCTTCCCAAGCCAACTCGGAGTCGGCAGCCCTGGGAAAGCAATGCCAGATCACGGCATCCCCCGCTCTCCCCACCCCTCGTCCCCGCCAACTTCAGGCCGTGAGTGCGAATCTCATCCTAAATGGCATAAGAAAGAGGGTTGTAAAGTCTTTTCTCCAACATCTTGCCACACACAGCTGTTGGGGTACATTATTTCAAGAAAGGAAAAGAGGCTTTAATCATTCAAGTTAAGACAAGGGTAAATTACTACCTAAAAAATGTTTCTGAGCAATCCAGGAATGCTCTATTACCATCTAATACAGAAGATGAAAAAAAATAATCCCCTCATTCAATTAAACTTTTATTTTTTAAAAACTTATTTATTTATTTTTATAGAGAGGGGAAGGGAGGGAAAAAGAGAGGGAGAGAAATGTCAATGTGTGGTTGCCTATCGCGTGCCTCCTACTGGGGACCTGGCCCGCAACCCAGGCGTGTGCCTGACTAGCAATCAAATCGGCAACCCTTTGGTTCACAGACCGGCACTCAATCCACTGAGGCACAACAGCCAGGATTAAATTTTTACTTTTGTTTTAAATCTTTTATCTAAAATAAGAATATCAAAGAGTATGCCTTTCAGAGAAATACACCGGGATATATTCTACATAATGGAAAACAATTTGGGTAACTACTTACTTCCGAATTTATTAATTTAGAAGAAAGTTATAATGATAAAACAACAAAAAAATGTGGTCCTAAAAAAAGGTAGGCACAAATAAAGCAGCTTATAAGCCTGGTTGAGAATGCCAAGAATGAACCCAGGCCCTGACCAGTGTGGCTCAGTTGGTTGGGCATCATCCTGCAAAGCAAGGAGTTGCCGGTTTGATCCCCGGTCAGGGCACATGTCTGGGCTGCGGGTTTGGTTTCCTGCTTGGGGCACGTACAAGAAGCAACCAACTAATGTTTCTCTCTCACATCAATGTTTCTCACCCTCTTTCTCCCTCTCTTCCCCTCTCTCTAAAAATAAATAAAATCTTAAAAAAATGATCCCAGTCCCTGAACACCAGGGAGAAACTTAGGAGGGGGCCAGCAAACTAAAATTAGGAGGTATCTTTCACAGTCAAATTATCATTAAAAAAAGAAAAGTAAAAAAGGATGTTTGGCCTTTGTACATTCAACAGCAAGATCTGAACTGCTGGAGAGGTAAGAACGTCAGACCAAGAGCCAAGGAGTCACAAGGCAATCTGATGACGGTATCTGAGGATTCTAAACTAAGGTTTGCCACAGTCCTTCCCTTTCAATTCAGTAATCACTTACCAACTAGACACTGTGCTCAGCCGACAGGGAACACAAAAGAGAGTAACACTCAAGCCCTAACCCAACAAGAAGTTAAAATCTAGTTATTGACAAATGACTCTATTAGGTAATAACCTCAACTGCATTACAGATAGTAAGAACTCTGGGAGTTTTAAGAACAGAATCAATCTGATTGAAGGGAAAGGGATCTGGAAAAACTTTTAAGACAATTAGGAAGACAGAGATAGAGAAGGAAGATTTTAGGTTCAGGGCAAATGTTAACAAATCTCTTTGGATAAGGTAGTCCAGGAACTGTTCGGGAAGGTGAGAATTCAATTTGACCAAAGTATAGAATATGTATGAAGGAAGAGTAGTGAGAGACAAGTCTGCCAAGTATGTGGGGAAAAAAAACCCCTAAAGAACAGGCTTCAGAGTCTATCACCCGTTGCCCACTCTTACATTGTCCTTTTAAGTGTATCTTCTGCAAAGCAGACTTCTTCAAGTGACTACTTCAAAGTATATTCCTAGCCAGAAAGATCTATTCTAATAATTAAGGTACACTCTTTATTTTGCAGCTATTGTTATTTTCTCAGATGGTCAATCATTGGTGAGAGGAGGAAAGACTGTCAACAGCTTTCTGTCTAGGCTGCATTGTCACCAACTATATACAACATTTACCTGACTAAGCTCCTTAAGGATTAGGAATGTTTTCGGGGCAGGCCCAATTTAGTAATGCCGCCCTGCCCTTAAAATCAGCTGTTACGTTACAAAGTGGTATACTAAATGTCAAATGTCTTTTACAAAAGGCCAGTAGTGGTCTCTAGTTTACTGAACATTTCAAATCTGTGTACAGCCCTTTAAAAGTTGAAGGTGGGACTTTCAAGGATATTATTAATTCTTCAGAAAATTAATCTGGGCCCAGGTAAATTACATGGCTCAAGCAAAGGCACTTTCCCAATCCAGTCAGTGTGACAGGATGCATATGGCAGTACAGCCTACTGACTGGGATCATGGAGGTAATCTTAGGTTAAATCCCCTAGAATGACACACTGTTTAGCTGTAACTGAGATGGAAGAGGACATGAGCAAAAGGACTCACTACTTTCTGAGTTGCTCAATGCTCCAGGTTTTAAGGACCTGTCCACCACAGGTGGCTTGGCAGGCCTTACAGTTGTATTACAGTCTGAGGGCTGTGTGGGTGCCACAGGTGCCGTGGGGGACACGTCTAGGGAGGGCTTCTCCAAGTCAGGCACCAATGGGCCGCCTAGGCCAGGGTCCACCTTCCCAAACTCCTGCACAATTTTCAGCCGCTCTTTTTCTAGCTCCTGGTTCCGGATCATCTCCTCAAAGGCACGGAACTGTTCCTGCTCCAGCTGTTGCTGCTTCTGTTGTGCTACCCTCTGTCTTTCCTTTTCCATCTCCTGCTGGATGGCCATGTTCCGGGCAAATTCTTCCGCTTTCTTCTTCTACAAAGAAAGACTAGGAGTTAGGCCAACACTACACTTAGGTGACCACACCTCAGGAGGACAAGGCTGTGCAAGCAGGGGAATTTCCCAAAACGTACCTCTGCTCTGCCCTGATTTCCCAACACAGGATTCATGCTTCCCTTGTTACCTCTACCTCTGCACACATGGAAGAGGCACCACTCCGTTCTATCTAGACACTACATACCTATTCTTCAAGGACTCCTCTTAGTACCCTTCCCAATGACTAATGTGTTTTCTTCTTGACCAAAACCTCGATGCAACTTATTGTTTGCACCTCAAGACTAGAATCATAGACAGTTTTACACCCTGTTTCATGAATACATTCTATATCCCAAATAAGGCTATAAGATAGAACCAAATCCAAACTTATACCTGCTGTGCTGGGGGTCTCATTGAATTTTTAACCCAAAATAGAAGCCTCTGTATGTAATTTTCTGGTGATCAGTTCAGCAAAGAGTGACATTTTTAATGAACAAGAAATATTAAGTAATAGTCTCCTTCATTAAGGTTTTCACTCACTTCATATCTTAGAAATACACACCTCATAGCTGTTCAGCTCTCTGCTGATGTTCACCAACAGGGTCCAAAACAGAGCTGAGCAGACTACTACAAAATAATGTGAAGTGCCTGCAGCGTGCACTCACATCTGTCACAGGCCACTGACAGTGCCTAGAAGTTTCTCCACATGCTTGAACTGACTCTTCCTAACAAGAATTATGTGAAAATGGCTTAAAAAGAAATCAATTATTTCAAACAGGTACAGCCTGTTTCAGATATAACAAAATGTAAATCAAACCTGCCAAATTATCTGACCTAAAAACCTATGCTTTAGTGAGAATTTTCATTGTTTTTAGGTTCTTGCTCTAGGTAAAACAGACAAGCGATAGATTTTCTGTCCCTCAAGTCACCCTCTCGGACAGACAGGCTAAATCTGTGTTAGAATACTCAGCCTAAACACTTGCATTCTATTTTTCTGAGTTCTAGCCTTTGCCAAAAAAAAAAAAAAGTACCACATTAAAATCACAGGATCTGCTGAAATACTGTATTATAATCCCAGGGCAGCCTAAGAAAACAAATTCATTTCCCATTTTTGTTGTTACATACTCACTTTTGCTTCATTATGTTCTGTATATTCTTTGGTATATCGTTTTAACAGCTCTGCCTTCAGCTCTTCTGCTTTGGGAAATGCAATCTCCTTTAATTTCTGAGACATACACAAAAATACTAAGAATTAGAATAATTCCCAGCTAATTAAGTAGAGAAGTTAAATTGGCTTTGGCAACAATGTTCCCCAAAACAATTTAAAATACCCCCTGCGACTTCATACTGATCCGGTGAACTGGCCTCACCTCCTACTGCAGGGTCCCATGCTCAGATGCAGACACTACTACTTTCACCCAGAAGTCAGGGTGTGCCACTCTGAAGCTTTTAGATGGGCACAAATGAAAGTGAAGACCCACCTTTACTGTGTCTTTCTTTTCGGGAATGACAGCCGATTTGTAATCTCGATGTTTTGGTAGTTTCTCTATAAAGAGCCTAAAGAAATAGATCGGAGTGATTATGATACAAAGAAAATGTCCACATGTCCAAAAGATTCTGAAGCAATGCAACTCCCTTATCCGGCAGCCCCTGCAAGACGGGGTTCCACATGTGCAGGGCAGGAGTAACAGGCACACCCAGACAGGCCATGTTCCCCCTATCCATCTCCAGCCCTGTAAAGAGCAACAGAGTGTTTCTCTCTTCTCCTAAATCCGGCCTGCAGCAGCAAGGACCAGACTTCTACAACAAAAAATATGGGGGGGGAAAAGCCTATTCCGTGCCCTAAAATATTCCTCTGAAGACATTCTTTTCTTGTTGTGACAGTGGCAGGTTTCCAAAGGAAAGGGTCTCTGTCACAAATAATTCTTCAGAGAACAGTGGGGCAGCCCATGGCAGGAAGTGAAAGGAAAACCCATGTTCTATTTCTACCCCTAGCCCTGTGTGACCTTCCACTTTGGGACTTCACTTTGGGCTTCTTTTCCTTTGTGATTCATGTTCCTTCGAAGAATACTCCTTGCATCATGCTAAGCACTGAGAAGCTTTGACAGTACATGTGTGTAATATGTTCATGTTAAATGTATAGCATGCATTATGGTCTCTGATGAAAAGTATTTAGAGAAATATAAGTGCTAGGTTTTCTCTTTTGGCTCTTGTCCTTGGCTGTAAAGCTCAGTGGGAAAAATAAACTGACTCAATTCACAGACCTCTAACATTTAGGATATCTACTTAGGGACACTGAAAGAAAATGTAAGTTGAGTATCTTATCAGAGCCCAAAGTGGCGAATTCAGAATTTCAGTGCCAGCTCCAGAATCTACTAACTACTACACCACACTGCCTCCACATGGTTCCTGGAATGTCCACAACTGTTGGAGGGGTTCTGAACAAAGCTGTCTTGTAACAGAATTAAGTTGTAATAAATACCAGCCAAGACTCAAAACAAATAAATTGGAGGTAGCTTGCTCACAACCCTAAGATACTCTGCTATAGCTGGGATTAACTGAGTCTTTTCCATTGCCTGCCCAGGGGCAGGAGAAAAACAGAGAAGAAAGCCCCAGTGGGGGGAGAAAAAGAAGACCTCCCAAGGCCCCCATCAAAACAAACCCTCAACAGAGGAGTCCTCCTCCTTCGGTTCTATATTTGGCACATGAAAATTTCCTTTCAATCCAAGACCCCTCAGGCCAGCATAAATTCTAAAGTCAAAAGGATACTAAAAATCTTCCCTTTGGGTTTATGAAAAAGATACAAAACAGTTTCCTCGAAATCTAAAACAAGTACAAATTTATTTGTTCAGTCATAAAGTTCTAACAGGATATTAATATAAATAAGGCATAGTTCTCGTGTTCAATAGACTTACAATTCAGTAAGTCTCTCACTCTTGCCGTAAAGACATAGGTTCACGTTCACTACCTTCGGTGGGCCGAATGTGCTTCATATTATTGAAGCCTAAATCAGCCAAGAAAGTACCATGCCACAGGAACACCTCACTTTGCATTCACTTATGTGCTCAACCTCAAGAAAGAGACTGTAAAGTCCCCGAGGCCAGAGATTTCTGTCTCATGCTCCTTTGTACATTCCTCTAAAGCCAATACAGTGCCTTGTATTTACTGTACTCAATAAATATCTGATGAATAGAATGGACTTAAAACCTCTGGATGAGCTGAGTGAAAAAAACCAAAGTTTAAATAAAAAAGTGTATGCTACTTTGTAAGAAAGGGGAAAAATTACATATACATGTATTTATTTATTCTGCTTATAGATATCTAAAGAAACATAGGAAGTATGTACAGTAACTAACAAAAGTAGAGGGCAGGGGAAATAGGGTGGATGAGACAAGAGTGGGAATAAAACTTTTCACCATAAACCTTTTTGTATTATTTAGACTTTGAACCATGTAATAGAAGCTATTTTATAAGTAAGGATAAAACTTTCAGACCTACTCATGAATACCTTTCCCTTGTTTTAACTGTTGACCATTTTCTGAATGGGGAATATGGGCAGAAAAGTCTCTCAAAAGCAGAGACTGGGCCACATAATCCCCTTCCCGTACTGGACGTGTCAGAGCTTAGTGGTTAGGAGGACAGGCTCCAGAGCCACCCTGCCGGGGCTCAGATCCTGGCCTGGCCATTTACTGTGACCTAGGGCAAATTACTGAATCTCACCATCCCTCAGTGTGTGTGTGTGTGTGTGTGTGTACATACACAAAATAGTACCATCTGATAGGATTGCTGTTATGCTTAAAGAGATAAAAAAAAATAAATAAATAAAGGTCTGAGGACAGTGCCTAATATATAACTAACATCTATGTGCTTAAATAATTGTTTTTACTAATAGGTAAACAAAAAAAAAAAAAAATGTGATCAAGAAGAGATGAAGACGTTAACACCAGGACTAGAAATGTTCCAGGCATAGAATAGCTGTGGCCCAGATGTATACTGTTCTCTGGGGTTAGATCTGGTTGCAGCCTAGACAGAGGATATGTACCAAAACAAAGAAAGATGCACTAGCAAAAATACAAGCCAAACCCTCTAACAGAACAATGGGGGATAAAGAGATAAGGAGAAAAGTAAATACAAAAGGTGAATAAGTATATGGAATGGAACTGAACTTTGTCTTGAAAGAAATTGAAATTAAGATATCATTTTCATCTATCAGATTGGCAAAGGCTTAAAGGTTGATTATAACCAATGTAGGCAAGGGTTTAGGGAAATGAGTGTCCTTATACACTCTCTGCGGTACGATAATTTGGTATTTTTTTCTTAGGTAAGGGAGGGGGTAGGAGACACCTATTAAAATTTAAAATGTGCATACTCTTTGAACTCACAATTCCACTTCTATAAACTTATCCTACACAATAGTACAAAGGTATATGTATAAAACTATTCAACATGGCATTGTTCATAAAAGCAGGGAAAACTGAAAACCTAAATGTGCATCAAAAGGGGATTATTTAATAAATTATGGTGTATCCGAATCTTTAAACAACATAATCATCCATCCATTTGTTCAACAAATGGTTATTGAGCATCTACTATGGGGTCAGGTATTATGGTAAAGGCTGGGGGTTTGGCAGTGAACAACACAGTCACAAATTCCTCCCTAAAGAGCATACATGACAGTGCGGGAACAGACAGCAAACAAAACAAAAAGTATGCAGATAATCAGTGCAAGAAAAAGACATTACAGAGAAGAGAAATAGGAAGTGAGGGGGGCTAGGAATAGAGATTTTTAGATAGGGCAGCTAAGGGCATCGCTGGCAAGGTGGCATTTACGTAAGAACAGGAAGAGAGTGAGTCAGGCAAAGATCTGGGATAAGGTGGTTCCAGGCAGAAAAAATAGCCCTGAGACTGTGAGGTGAATCAATATATTCTGACACGGACAGGCAGATAGGACTGTTAAGAAAGCAAGTTGTAGAACAAAATATATTACATGCTTTCATTCATGCTTTAAGAAAAAAATAAACAGGTGAGTCCACGTGCTTGCAGGGCATAAACATTTTCTTGTAGTATATATACAAGAAACATGACAGTGGTTACCTCTGGTAAATGATATTTTTCACTTTAGTATTTCCCTTGCTCTATGTTTTGAAAAAAAATAGTTTTAGTCAATGAACTATTAATTTTGTATTAAAAATAATTAATTCAAAAAGTCCAGCAGAAATTACATAACATGAGAGTATTAAGGACTCTGATTTCACTTCTTCCAATCTCAAAAAGTTAATCAGCAAAATGAACAGAATCAGAGATGAAGACCTCTGCAGTCCATGAGGCTCAGTCCCAGTTGTAACCATTTTCAGTGCTGGTGACAGACCATTTTCAGAAACTGGGTTTGTGTTTTAGGAGACTCACAGAGCAGACAGGAATTGCTTAAGCCTCCTGTAACTACCTTCTGTGTAGCCTAGTCAATGACCATAAAAAGCTGTGAAAGAATCCAGTGCCTGCATTATTGCCTGTGCTCATCATGAAACTATGTGCTGCTTTAACATGCTGAAAATCCTTCTCCTACACCGGGGTCTGCAAAGGGCAAAGCATTCCTAGAACAGGGAAATGTCTGAGGGGGGAATGTGCTTGAGATCACTCAGATGCCTGAACTGCTCCAGGGAAGAGAACAAACATGCCTTTTAAACTCCTGAATTAAGGAATCCACAAAAGGTCTAGAACAATGACTCTCAACAGTGGGGGAGGCAGAGGAGTGGTGACGTGGATGCCCTCCTCCTTCCTTAGTTGTAATAATTGCCAAAGTGAGCCATTGTTACTGACAGAAATAGACCAAGTAAAACGCAGTAGAAAAACAGAATAAGAATACGGAGCTAGAGCTTTTTTCCTACTCTCAGGGCTTGTTGGTTCATAGAATCAGAATTAGGGTCTTAATGATATCCACAAGAAAAATGAAGGTAGCTATATTTATTGATCCAGCTCAAACCAATCCAAAAAAATTCCAAATTAAACCCCAAATCTAACGAATTAGGTAAATGAGCTGTTACATCCCACCTCTTTCTCTTTCAACTCTACCTCCAGGCCTAGTTCATCATATTAAATAGTCCTATAATGGGAACCACATAGAGGGACAGACTGCCCATTAGTCTGGCTGTTAACGCTAATACTCATGTCACTCAAAGTAACACCAAGTCACAGAAACATACCAATTCCTTAAAAATCATGTACTCTTAATCCTACCCTCTCTTGCCTATTTAGGAGTTTACTGCTACAGCTAAATACTCTCTTTTCTGTAACAGCAGCCTCTCTTCCTCCACAGGATCTTTTCCATCAGCAAAAAATATGCTCTAGAGTCTCCCACCTTAAAATACATACCGCATTTTCACGCACTCCTTGTCTCCCTTCAGTTACTTCCTCATTTTTCCACTTTACTTCATCCAAACTTCTACACAGTGTTGTCTATGTCAGGTCTTGGCAAACTAGGCTAGTGGGTCAAATCCAGCTCACCATCTGGTTTTGTAAATAAGATTTCATTGGAACACAGCCATACTCTCTCACTCATGTATTGTCTATGGCTGCTTTTAGACTACAAAGCAAAGGTCGTGACAGAGATCAAATGGCCTGCAAAGCCAAAAATATTTACTATGTGGCCCTTTACAAAAAAATGTCAGCTGGCAGTATAGTCACTGTCTCCACTTTCATACTGTCCATTCACCTTTCAACCCTTTTAATCCTTCTAGTGAAATCATGTACCAAAATCACCAATGACATCGTGTTACCAAACCCAAACCCTCACCCATCTGACCCATTTGACCCATCTGACCCAGCTGGCTCCTCTCTGCAAACACTGACCTCTACTGGCTCTCACAACACCACCCTCTCCTGGACCTCTTCCTGTCTCTCGAACTTTCCTCAAAGTCTTCTTTGCTGGTCCTCCCTTCACTAACCAAACTCGAGGTTCAGCCTCAGTCTCCTTTTCTCATTCTACATTCTCATTATCAAGGATTCTTGATCCTTTTATGTGCCGTGGATCCTTCCAGCATCTGATGAAGCCTATAGATTCCTCCTTGGAATAACTTTTTTAAGGTATAATATTAAGATACAAAAAATTACAAAAGAAACCAATTCCACTGAAATACAGTTTTCAAAATAAAAAATATTGTGATATGGGCTTCTTTACTAATGTGCTTTTTATTAATGCATATATTAATGCATTGTTAATACATTTATTAATGTGTTAATACATTAAAAAACAGGATCTAGTCATGGGTTTAGTAACTGTGTACTATAATTATGAGGTAGCGATAAGTGTAAATGCTACCTTGAGATATCAGTAAAAATTGTAATGCGACATGACAATATCTTGATTTCTATTGGTGACAAAATTACAAATACAGGCATACCTCATTATATTGTGCGTTGCAGATGTTTTCATCAACATAAAGGCAAGACCCTCCACCAGCAAAAAGATTACAACTTGCCAAAGGCTCAGATGGTGGTTCCCATTATTAGCAATAAAGTATTTTTAAATTAAGGTATGTATTGTATATTGTGTTTTTTAAACATAAGGCTATTGCATATGTAATAGACCACAGTATAGTGTAAACATAATTTTTATATGCACTAGGAAACCAAAAAATTCATGAGACTCACTTTATTGCACAGTTCGCTTTATTGCAGTGGTCTGGGACTGAACCCACAATATCTCCAAGGTGTGCCCATATTATTAATACTACTGTCATTTGAGGCCTATATTCGATATTGAAGGAAGTGGTAAAGTTCAGTAAGAGGTTAGTAAAAGTAAGAAAAGTTTTTCCCAACGAAGCACATAGATGGACTCCAAGTTCCATCTATGAATCCCCGTGCGGTTCCTAGATCCCTGATTAAGAACCTCTGCGCGAGAAGGTCTCAGTGGTTCTCACGGCTCTACAACCATTGTATGCTGAGGACTCCTGCATCTGTATTTCCAACTCAGACTTCTCTGAGGTCACACTGACTGGTACACCCAACCTCCTACTGGACATCTCTACTTGGATATCTCCCAGGCATCCCAAACTTAACACCTTAATGTGTCAAACCGCTCCCCCTGCCCCACAAAAAAAAAAACACCCAGACCTGAACTCTTGAATCTCCCCCTTTCAATACCATTCTCTCCATCTCAGTAAATAGACCACCACATCCTAAATGACTCCAGGGAGAAAGCTGAGGTCGATCTTGATATAATCTTTCGTAAACTGTAACTAAGTCTCATGGACTCTACCTCCGGAACACCACACCCATCCGCGTCTTTCCACGTCACCACACTACTGCAAGCCACCAGCCCCCCTCCTGAATGGTTTTGTTCTCTAACTAATCTCCCTGCCTTCTCTTAACACTCCCTCAACTATTCACCACACAGCAAACAAGATTTGTATTTTTATAATATAAGTAAGGTAAGATTTAACGTCACAACCTCACTTAAAATTTTTCAATGGCTTTCTATTGCTCTCAATATGAAATGCAAACTCCTTACTGTGGCCTGTTGGTTCTGCAAGTTTCAGCCCTGCCTGCCTCTCTGATCTCATCTGGAGTGATCCCTCTCCCTCACTAGCTACACTCCAAACACATTGACCAACTCTACTGTATCCTTCAAGTCTCAGTTTAAATTTTATTTTCTCAGACAGACCTTACCCTGATTACTCTATTTAATTAGATACTGGTTATTCATTCTCTCATAGCATTCTCTCTGCTGCTCTCATAGCATTTTCTTCATTTGTGACTACATAGTTTTGTTTATCTGTTTATTGTCTTCTCCTATAACTAAAAAGGTACACAAGTAAAGGTAGGGGCCATTTTATCTACTATATATCCAGGTCCTAGTGCAATGCCAAGTATATGGTAGGTATACACAATATATATTGAATCACTAAGGTCCTTGATCTCAACGCACTTTCCATGTGGGGCAACAGGACCTAGAAGGCCCTTCACAAAATACCTGGTAGAATAATTTCACAATTCTCCTGAATTCTCCCAAAGAAATTATGCCCTTGGGTTTCATTCTGGGAGAACTATCTGTAAGATCTGAAAATATACAAGAAGGCTATTTCTACCAGCAGCAGAGTATATGAAGATAGGGCTAGTAGCCAAAGAAACTTTTCAGGAAAATAAATTTTGTGCCCACTGTGCCTAGGAATGAAAAACTTGTAACAGTAAAGAGAGGCCAAAATATAATTATAATTCTATGAAACTTTATCAGCATTGAGGCCACATGATGAGGCATGATGGCATGGAGGGAATACAAGATCTTTGAGAAAATAAGCACTTTTTAAGTCTACTTCTAAACTTAAAAAGAAAGGACCACAGCAGTTCCTTTTCTCCATTCTAAAATTACAATGTGAATCCTAGGCACTCTACTCTTAACTCTCATTTTTCTTTAGAGCACTGGTTGTCAACCAAGGCAATTTTGCCCCTCAGGTAACATTAGGTAATATCTGGGGACATTTTTGGCTGTCACAGCTGGAGGGGAGGAGGTGCTATTGGCATTTGGTGGGTAGAGACTAGGGATGCTGAGAGATACCCAACAATGAACAGGACAATCTCCACAACAAGGAATTATTCAGCCCAAGATGTAAACGATGCCAATGTTGATATACCCTGCTTTAGAGTAGTATGTGATCAAAAACTTATTGTGATATAATTGATAAGCATATATCATCTCTGGGATGACATATAGGAAACTAATACAAGTGAATGTCTCTGAAGAGGAGTGGTACGAGACTTAGTTTTTAAATATTTAAGTTTTTAAATACTTATACCATTTTGTGCCTTCTGAATTCTGCACCATATGTGTGTGTTACCTATTCAAAAACAATAATAAAAAATAATTTAAAAAATAGTCAGTGTAGCTCAAGACTATGACCTCAAAAAACAGAACATTATCAAAAAAAAAGAGAAAAGAACACAATCTATGTTGGGTTTTGTCACTCCGAAAAAGTGGAACAAAGCATACTGCTAAACCCTGAGCTTGTTTCCTCATTTGTTGAATGGGAGAATCATGGGCACTACTAAAGACACACAGAACTGTGAAGATAAAATGAAATAATGCAGGCAAAATGCTCTATGAACTATTACAAGCCATAAAAATACACTATAATTATTATTATTTTTTTAAAAGGTCCTGGTATTACCAAAGACAACCACTAGGGATTATAAATGAGACCCTGTAACATTATTCCCTTCCTAAATTACACATCATTCTGTTACCATTGGGGCTTTAGGAGCTGTTCCCAGTTAATTGTACAGAACTCTCCTATTTATGCTGCTAACCCTAAGGTGTTAAGCAAGCAAAGGGAGCCAAACAAACTGTAGATTGTTAATACTTATTTGATGATTTGCATGACAAAAGTTAAGAAAAGAGTTAAAAACTTTTTCCTGAATCACTCAATTTGCTACAAAATAAGTAGAGGTGAGGAATTTTTGTTCTGCAAAGACTTAACATTAATCCTATGATTAATAGAGAGAAGAGGGGAAAAACATTCATCAACACAAAACATGTGCAGTTTAACCACCAACTCTCTTGCCTAACAGCTGGCACAGGCCAAAGAGCTAGGTTTCTTACTCATGAAATTACTGAGTCATGAAAATAACACTCCCAGTACTCATGTCTTTGAATATCAAGGACAGCCAATATGTAGGAGCTGCCAACAGAAATGATTAATGGTAATGATGTAAAGTTCTCTAGCTTTAGTAATTCTAAACAAATAAATGAGCACAAAAGCAGAGTGAGTGAGGCACCAGTCACCGGAAAAGAAAAAAGGAACTGGAGGTGTCTTACGTGATATACTTGTTATAGAGAATGAAGGCATGCTCAATGTTGCCTTCCTCACAGTAAATGGATGCCATTCGGATAATCTCAACTCCAGAGCGGAAGTACCGTCGGGGCGGAATGTCTTCATTTATCTCCACTGCGCTGCCTATCTGGGAGAGAGCCCTCACCCGCTCTTCGGGAGGGAGGCTCACATCTCCATGATCAGACATCAGGACCAAGAAGTTCTGAGACAGGGAACAGAAAAAAGAGGGCATCAACATGTTGGCCCACATCATCCCAGCACAACCTAACACACCGTGAGAAAAATACCGTACACTGTGGCTCATATCAAATAATGTCTCTTTCCCACAAGAAGACTGAGACCCTCAAGGAAGCCCACATCACAATGACGATTGGTTAGCTCAAAAACTCACAGTCCCTGTGCCATCATTAGGTGGTACAAGGAATACAACTATAATGGGCGACAGGGAGTTTAGGTCTATGCTTCATGCTAATTATTCCTTGTCAGTAGGTGCCCTGCCCTCAGCACCATAAAAGGAGGGACAGCACCTTATATTTCTGGCATTATTTCTCCTCCCAGTTACCCATTCCACCTACCCTAGTCCCTGGCAGAGTATACTCAATGAATTTTCATGATGATTGTTAACTGACTTCAAGTTTGATTATTTTTACTTAGTCTGAGAGTAACTGACATTTTCCTGTGATGTACTTTTCCCATATCTGAGCACAAGGTTAGTTAGGGGAACTGGTATGGGAATGAATGCTCATACTCCTAACTTTGCTCACTAAACCACTATTACAGACAATCTACATCATTCATCATATCAGCGCAAGGAATTTAGATCTTGAAAACAATTTACTCAAATCTATCTTCAAAGACTAAGCATTCTTTTAGTAACAAAAGGGCACAAAGGTAATATGGCAGCAAAACACCTGGGCACTTTCCCTCCCTAGGTCTCAAACTGCAGTAATTCTACAATCTTTCTAGATATTGTTGCTGTGACAATCAGATTCCAGCTTCCAATCAGATATCACTCTACATCATTTCCAAAAAGAATCTGGGTATTTGATACATATTGAATTACAGCACATCCTAAACAACATGCTCTAGAATATATAAGCTATAGTAGATTTCATTTGGGAACTCAAGGCCGTGTTACCTCGCCCCATTTTTTCTTTTTCATCTTAAACCTTACCCCTTCCCAGAGGAGATCATTTGCTTCAGTCAGGATTCTGATCTGCCCAGATATCCTCACATTTCATTTGTTTATCCTCTGTTGTTGTTTCCCACTCCCATCCCTCCCTCAGAGAGTTCTCTCCCGGCCAATTCTATCTTCAGGTCACATTTCCTCCACTAAGCTTCCTTTCTAAAACACCCTCACTAATAGTACAAAAGCTGTGGGTGCAGTCAGGAATGCAAGGCATTCCATCTCCCACAAAGCCTTTTTAGGGCCTCAGAAAGTCGCTAGCAAATCTAATTCTTCCCAAGTTGCCTCATTAGTACACTCCGTCCGGGGCCCATTTAAAGCTAACTGAAGCAGAGGATGCTTGTTGTACCTCAAGAGTACCTCCCGGGAGAGGACGTTTTGGGTCGCGAATGCAACCCCCTCCTGAGGGCATCAAGTGGTGCCCGGTACTACAGGGCCAAGCAACTGTCCAGAAAGGAAATCAGCATCCGTAAACAAGCGGGAAGGTGTCGTAAAGGGCTGAGGTGGAAAGACGAAGAGGAGAAAAGCAGCCGCAGAAATCACCGGAGGGGGCGTATGAGGTGGACAGGGGCCTCCTGACAACCGCCTGAGGTCCCCTCTTTGAAGGCACTCAAGCCCAAGTTGCCAACCGGGACAAAAATCATCGAAGGTCTTCGGGTTTTTCTCGTGCGATAGGCGGGGACGCACTGGGCCTGGCAGGGGACGGAAACCGGGAGACGACAGGGCCCTCACGCGCGGCAGGCCAGGCAAGGGCCCCGGGGGAGGCGAAGGCTCTACGCCCCACACTCACGGCGGCTGCTCCCCTTGAGTCCGATCACGCTCACAGCCCCGGGCCCACCACATTACCGGGACCCTTCCCCACCTGTCCCTGCGGACGACACTCGGAGCTTCCGCAAACGTCACATCCTGCGACCGCCCTGCCCATTCCCGCTGGCCTGCATAAATTGCATTCCCCAAAACTCAGGACCCGTGAGGGCAGGGAGAGGGGGCCGCGCCGATGGGCGGGGCTACTGAACACCCGACCAATGAGGAGAGAGCTTGAGGGCGGCCATCTTGGTAAAGGAAATCAACATGGAAGAAGGGGAATCAAGTAATTAAAGGAAATAATGACTAAGCTTACTTTTGTTATTAGAATTATTTTGATTTTGGGTAGGGATTTCTTGTGAGATAGCCCCTCTGTCACACTCACGCAAACCCAGCATTTAAAGAGGGATTGCTGATCCAAAGTACCTGGCTAAACTAACCAAGGTTACTAAATCGGGGAAAGAAAACTGAAATGCTTTTATTGACTAGAAAAGAACATAAGGCTAATTTCTAATGTGAGCACCATATCACTTATTGAGAAATGACTGTTTAATTTCTAAAGGTCATTGTACAAAACAATGGGGACACAAAGATCCTTATGACACAGTTTTTTGCCTCTGTGCCCAGGACAAGATGACTATTACGCCAATACAGAGTGGCACATTCTGTGTGTGGTTGTATGTAAGTAGGAGTATATGCACAGTCTCTTTCCAGAAGGTCCTGCAAGTCACTGCAAGCCAGTCTGTCTCAGGAGACCTTATATGTATCAGTGCCTTGAAACTTTATGCCTTGGTTTAAAATTTCAGCTTTTTTGGCAATACTTGACTTGCTTCCAGTTAGCCTACCTCCAATTTTGAGAACCTCCTTATGAGAGGACAAAGTGCCATTTGCTTTTGTGGTACCATTTGCCGAGCAGGCCTATGACCTTGTTAAACATGATTGCCATTTTACTCTTCTGAATTTATGTCCCCAGGACTGAAAACTACTGGAAAGCAAACAAACATGACAAACTGCTCCCTACAGCTACAGAGAGAAGATAACACTGGAATGAACTGCAGCCCCAAGTTGTGATGCCCCAACAGCCCAGGGGCCACAGAACAACAACCCCCCAATCCTTTTTTAATCCAATTATAATCCAGCAAAAGCTCAAATCCCCTACCCTTCAATGCTGGTGCATATCTGTGCATTTAGTCCTTTCCCTCTCTCAGGAAAGGAAAATAAAAACTTTGCTTTCTGCAATTTCTTCTTTTTGTGAATTCTTTGACAGCCCAATGTCACCACACTAACACCCTGCAAGCTTTTTAGTGATGTTAGTGATTAAATGACCTATCTTTCAAAGTCTAGCTTAAAGCTCCTGCACAGGTGTTACCTCTTCCTCTAGGCCAGTGTCCAGATCTCTAATTTTTTCACTCCCTTTTCTGAATATTTCTCTTGGATTTCCCTGAAGTGATTCTGTGCGGTCATTGGCTTTTCAGACTTGTGGTTGAAAGCACCTAGCAGATTCTTTCTGCTCTACAAGCATAAATATGCATGTCTGTGCTAGGATCCTCTGTCGATTCTCCTGGATCCCTTGCAGGTAACTCTGGGAAGACAGCTGTAAAGGGCATTCTCCTGTGTCTTCAACACTTATTTCTATACTGCCTCTTTCCCTTCATCATGTAAACATAGTGAGTTGAGCCTAAAGACATTGATGCAGTAGGTGTGCTGGTCATAGGGAGAGCATACAGTGCAGGTGGGGTCCTAGCAGGAGATAAAACACAGAACAAAAACCAACCCATTCAACCTCTCAGTAAATATTTCTTTAACATCTATTATGTGCCAGTTTCTGTTCTATGTGTTAGGGATACAGCAGTGAACAAATCCAGGTGGATGCTGTTACTGTGGTAGTATAGAGAGAAACAGAGCTGATGGGGTATGGGGCAGGGGCATCTGCTCCCATTGAGCACAGTCCATTCACAGAAAAATAGCTCTTTTTTTATGTTTAACTTAACAGAGTTTACAAACCTCTTAGATGTTAAGACTACGATGAGAAGGCTTTAAGAAGTTACGACTGGGAAGCACACAAAAGGTGTGTGCATAGTCACAAACATAACAAGCACCCTGCACATACTGTCGGCAAATGGCTTCAGCATTACACTTGGTGGGCCAAGGCCAGGCTCAAAAATGAGGTGCTACTTCCTTACGGTGCCCATACCTAGCATGAACACTTTCCCTGAACAGCCTCCATATGACCTCTTGCATACTTTGATGTCACAGACTCTTGCACTCTAGCATGCATATTCCTACCTGCTCATTCCTTGGAAGTATCAAGGGACTCCTAGAAGACAAAATTTTTGATATATAACATCATGGTATAGAAAACAGGTCCAGGTTAGCTTTTTGAGGAGCAAAAACAAGGATTCCAGGAAGATGTCATTTGCCTACTTGTTATTCCTGTGATAAATGCCATACCTAGAGGGGCAATCTCCTTAGTACAGGAATGACATTCATTCTTACCTGCTACAATATGTTCTCATAATAGCAGTTAATATTATTTTAAAAACAGAAATTAGCCCTGGATGGTGTTGCTCAGTGGATTGAGCACTGGACTGTGAACCAAAGGCCACTGGTTTGATTCCTGGTCAGGGCACATGCCTGGGTTGCAGGCTGGGTCCCCTATAGGGGGCAACTGGTCTATCTATCTTTCACACATTGATGTTTCTTTCCCTCTCTTTCTCCCTTCCTTCCCATCTTTCTAAAAATAAATAAAATCTAAAAAAAGAAAGGACCCCACAAACCCCAAATTAGATTCTATTGTTCCTGGGTTTAATACCCTCAAATTATGTCCATAGTACTTCAAATTAAAAAATCCAAAGTCCTTATGCTGCTTATGAGTGAGTCTGTTACCTTTATTTCTCTGAATTCCTCTCCCACTCTTCTCCTTGCTTACTACTCTCTACTCACACTGTCTAAACAACTGTTCTTCCAGTCAAAACCTTTGCATAGCTGTTTTCTCTTCCTAGGTGTTCTTACCCTGATCTTTACTTGGCTGGCTCCATCTTGTTATTTACATCCCAGTTTATATGTCACCTCCTCAAAGAGAACTTTTCTGACTACACACTCTAAGTAGCTACTCAGTCACCTTCTATCAGTCAGTCCTATTTTCATTCTTTTTTAATAGTCCTTACCACTATCTGCTATGGTCTGGATTGTATGTTGTCTTTCATTCTTCCCTAGAATATAATCTACAGGAAGACAGGAGCTTTTTCTGACTTGCTTCCAGCTCCATTTCTAGTTCCTACAACAGCATTAACCCCAGAAAACACTCAGTAAAGATTGTTGATGTTCAAACATTGTTGAACTGAATGTCATTTCACTTGTCCAAAATGAATCCCAGGGATGGGAGGTCAATTATGGTGATAACTGAGATAAACAATGAAAAACAGTGGTCATGATGCTCTTGGCACCAAGTCTTCTCCATAACGTAGTTAGTATTAGGAGCAGAAAACTTCCAAGGCTAGATGCCTTCACTTATTGAGTGAATATTTATTGAGTATCTATCATGTTCATGGATCTATGTCAAGTGATGGGTCTACAATAAATAAAAGCCAGTTCCTGTTTTTTTAAGGACCTCATGGATGAGTACTTAGAGCCACTGCAAGGGAAAAGCTCTTTAAATGGTGATTAAGCTTTTCAAGGTGACGCTAAGTGAGCTTCATATATTGAGACACTAATACAGCCTACCTTGGACATTCCTAGAAAATCGAGATGCTCTGAAAGCAGAAATGGAATGTGTACTAAAAACAAATTGTTTATATTGTTAAAATTTTTGCTGTGAATCCATTGGTAATATAAAATGAAACATACGTTTTCAAAAGTAAATACTTGAGAAGAAAAAAATGTGGGATGAGCTTTTAAAAAAGAAAAAGGAAATGTGGCAAGTGTACTAGAATCTTTTATGATTGTGTTTTTATGAATACATGCAAATTATGTTCCTTTTTAGTTAGAGTTGGAATTACCTGATGAAGAAATTGTTCCTTGAGAAGAGGTTTACAGTAAAGCCAATAACATGAAGATAAAGCTGAGGTTTGGAACTTCACCTATAGTTTATTTGAAGACCGATGTCTCCCATTGCCAAGGAAAAAAAGGGCTAGATGGGAAAATGAATCTTATGCATGCTTGGAAAAGTTTTCAACGTGTGTGTATTGTTACAATTAATGTTTAAATGTGTATATAAAGGGTGGATTTTATTTTAGGTATATTTTCTTCCTAGTTACCTGTTAGAAAGCTATGAGTTATATAATTTATTTCCTAATGACTTAAAGCCTTTTGTGTGAAGTAAGAATGCCATTCTCAAAATTGCAAATTTCAACAAGAATTAAATGAGATGAGGAACTTTAGGGCTATTGAAATGGACACTCCCAGTGGAAGGGCTTTATCATTTTATATTTGGTTTCTATATCTACTTTGAAAAATTACTGGCATACAACCAAGTACTAAAACTTCAAATGTGGGATAGAATTACATGCCACTATATTTCTATTCTTATAATAACATTCATTCAGTCAATCAACTAGTATTTATTGAGCACCTACTATGTGTCAGACACTGTTCAAAGCATTGAACATATAGCTGTGAACAAAGCAGATAAAGGAAATCTGTGCCCTCAAGAATCTTACATTCTAGGCATTTGACTTCCAGCGAAGACGGAGGCACAAGTAAACATGCTTCACCTCCACACACAACTGCAGCAAAAATTACAACTAGACAAACAAATTTCACCCAGGTTCATCAGATAATTGAGCTGTATGGAAGTCTGAAAACCCAGGATTTAAAGAAGCCACATTCATCCAGATGGGTAGGAAAGGCAGATATGCGGGGGCACAGAGAGGCACAGAGAGGCATGGGGAGATGTGGAGAGGTGGCAGAACGGACTGTCCCACATTCACATGTGGTGGATAAAAATCAGGAGGGATACCTCAAGAGCGAGCAATCCCAGCCCCAGACCAGACCACACAGCTCATGTTTCTAGTGCCAGGAAGATAAGTCCCTATAACTTCTGGCTCCAAAAGCCAGTGGGGGTCGTGGTGGTAAAAGAAACTACAGGATTCTCAGGAGTCTACTCTCAAAGGG